AGATGTAAAAATCTTCAACAGAATACTAGCAAACTGAATTCAAACAGATTTAAATCTGGGGTACAAGGATAGATCAATATATAAAAATCAATTAATGTGATGCATCTCATTAACAAAATGAAGAATAAAATTGTGTGTCATCACAAGCATTTGATAAAATTCAATGCCCCTTCATGATAAAAACTCTCAATAAACTAGCAACAGAGGGAAATTAGTCAATATAACAAAGGCCATATATGACAAGTCCACAGCATATATACTCAATGGTGAAACACTGAAAGCTTTTATACTAAGATCAGGAACAAGGTAATGATGCCCACGCTGAACACTTCTGTTCAATACAGTACTGGATGTATTATTAGGAAGAAAGGGGAGGATAGGGGAGAGAAGAGACACAAATCAGAAAAAGAAAAAGTAAAATTGTCTCTGTTTTATGATAATATGATTTTATACATAAAAAGAAACTCGAACAATTATACAAAAAACTGCTAGAACTAATACATTAATTCATTGAACTTTGAGGACAATCCCATTTACAGTAACATAAAAAATAGTTAGGTGTAAGCTTAATTAAGGAAGTGAAAGACTTGTATACCAAAACCTATAAAATATTGATAAAAAATTAAAGATGACACAAAGAAATAGAAGGATATTTTGTGTATATGGATGGAAAGATTTGATGTTGTTGGGATGTTGATATTACCCAAAACAATGTACAGATTCACTGCCATCTCTATGCAAATCTCACTAGGTTTTTGGGGTTTTTTTTTACAAAATAAAAAAAGAAATCTAAAATTCATAGGGCTACCCCGACGCTGAGAAAGTACAGAACTAGTAGGGAGCTATTAACACCTGCACTCAGCACAGCCTTGCCCAGACTCGGCTCCTTCAACAATTAAGAAACAGGGCAAGCCACGGCATGTCAGGCAGCCCCACCCAGATCAGAAGGGCACACAGGAAAATCACTCATTCTGGTTGGGCTGCAACCCAGGCTACACACATACCCACCCTCACTACAACTGGTCTGACCAAACTATTCATCACACAGTCTATAGAGGTTACTTTTTCTAAATGGGGAGAGAGAGCTAATTCATCTAAATCATAAGAACAAAAACATACAGTCAAATAAAATGGGGAAACAGAAGAACATGTTCCAAATGACAACAAGAAAAAACCCTGCAAAAACTCTAATGAAATGGAGATAAACAATATGCCTGATACAGAAGTCAAAGAAATGGTCATAAGGGTTCTCAACAAATATGAGCGTACAATAGAGAAACTGAGACCACTTCAAAAAAGAGTTAGAAAACATAATAAAAAACAATCAAAGTAAAGACTGCGATAACTAAAATGAAGAATATATTAGAAGAAATCAGCTGTGGTTCAATTAATACAGAAGAATAAATTGGTGGCCTGAAAGTAAGAATAGGGAAAAATCACACAGTCAGGACAGCAGAAAAAAAAAACTTTTAAAAATTTGGGCTGTATAAGGAACCTCTGTGACAACATCAAGCACTCTTAATATTTGCATTGTACAGATTCCAGAAGGAGAAGAGAGAAAGAGCTAAAAAGCATATCTGAAGAAATAGCTAAAAATTTTCCTAGTCTGGGAAAGAAAACAGACATCCAGGTACAAGAAGCACAGAGTTCCAAACAAAATAAGCCCAAAGGGGCACACACCAAGACATATTTTAATTAAAATGGCCAAAGTTAAGGATAAAAAGATAATCTTGAAGGCAACAAGAAGGAAACAGCAAGTCACATACAAGGACAACCTTTTAAGGCTATCACCTAATTTCTCAGCAGCAACTTTATAGGCCAGAAAGGAGTGACAGGAAACAATTAAGTGCTGACAGAAAGTAGCCTACACCCTATAATACTATATCTGGAAAGGTTATCATTTGGAATTGAAGGAGAGATAAAAGTTTCTTAAGCAAAAACTAAAGGAACTTACCATCACTAAACAGGCTTTACAGAAATTTTAAAGGGTCTTCTTTATAAAGAATTGAAAAGGCTATGACCAGAAATAAGAAAATACAGGGTGGGTGGAGCTCACTGGTAAGGGCAAATATATAATAAACACAGTGAATCAATCACTTAAAAAGCTTATATGGCAGTTAAAACATAACAATAGCAAACTTTATAGCATAAACAGACAGGGGACACACAAAACAAAAAGATACAAAATGTGACATCAAAAACAAAGTATACTTGAGAAAAATGTGTATCTTGCATTTTGGGAATGAAATGTTCTTAAAATGTCTATTAAGTTGATCTGGTTTAATGTGGCATTTAAGGCTATCTTTCCTTACTAATTTCTGTGTGGGTGATTTTCCATTGAGGTGGTCCCCTACTATTACTGTACTGCTGTTAATACCTGAATCTATATGCATTAATATTTGCTTTATATAAGTAAATACTCCTAAATTGGGTATGTTGGTATTTATAATTGTTATATCCTCTTCTTGGATGGATCTCTTCATCATTCTATAATGTCTTCTTTGTCACTTTTTACATTCTATGTTTTAAAGTCTATTTTGTCTGATAGGAGCATTGCTACCCCAGCTTTCTTTTCACTTCTATTTTTATAAAATATATATCTCTTTTTCCACCCCTTTTCTTTCAGTTGTGTCTTTCTTTCAATGTGAAATAAGTCTCTTGTAGATAGCATAACTGGGTCTTTTTAAAAAATTCATTCTGCTACCTTATATCTTTTGATTGGAATGCCTGTTTACATTTAAATTTATTATTGATCAGTATATTCTTATTGCCATTTTCTTAATTTTTTGGTTGTTTTCTTCTCTTGACCACTTTTGATTTGCTGGTTTTCTTTTGTGTTTAGGTTCATTTCTCTTTATTTTTGCTTTGTGGTTATTGTGAGGTTAATACATATCCATATATATGCATAGCAGTCTATTTTATACCAGTCTGAATATGACTATCACCAAAAACTCAACAAATAACATGTGTTGGTGAGGATGTGGAGAAAAGGGAACCCCTGTGTACTTCTGATGCAGCCACTGTGGAAAACTGTATAGAGAGTTTATAAAGCTGAAATTAGATCTGCCACATAACTCACCAGTGCCACTTGGCTATTTCCATAGAGCATGATGCTAAGAAGACCCAAGTTCTGGGTAGCTATCTAAGTTGTTCAGAATCAGAAATGTATATTTTGTGACACTAACTTACTGTGAAAGGTTAATGACTCCCAAATAAAATACTCTAAATCACTGCAAATTACTGTTCCATCATAAATATAGTTGTCCTTAAATTTCTGCATTTGTTTCCATATACATTTCTGCACATGAATGTACCAGATTAAAATAAGACTTTCATATGTCTTTATATAATACACATACACACATATTATGTATATACATAAACGCAGGTATAGATGTTTATACAGGAGTGGGAAAAGTAGGCTTACAGTTGTAACATTAATAAATAATAATACAAAAATAAACTGTTTTGCGTACTTTCAGCTGTAAACCTATTTTTGCCAACCCCAGTATAATGCATGCACAGGAAAAATAGTTATATATACACTGGCATGATACATCACTATGCTTTACTGAAGAAATGATTTTATCTATTATTTCCTCATTTCTTTCATATGACTCTCCTGGTTGGAAAAGGGTTAGTATAAGATTCAAGAGAAATGAGAATTCTTTGTACCTCTAAATGATTATGTTTTAAATAACCATTTCACTGGTTTCTTAATATACTGAATACATAATTTACTTTTTTCCAGTTTTCCATCACGAAGCAAAAACTACATAATAAACCATTCAAACATTCCCTCTCAGCCTTCATTAATGATTCAGTCTGACAGCCTGTGCTCACTGACTGGGTAGCAACTCTAAGGTTGATTGATAGATTCTGTGCGGTGTACCATGAGAATGCACCATGAGAAATCTTTTCTCTTATCAAGATATTGATCTCATAGGGGAAACCATATATATGTATATTTAAAAGTACCAAAGCCAAGGGTAGACAAGCAGGTTAATACACTGTCCACACAGAGCATTCAGGGAAGACAGTCTGCATCTTGTCTACATATGTCTCCCAAAGCCAGGACTCTGACTTGGCCAAGAAAAAGTCAAGGACCAACTAAGGCCATGCCCCCAAAGAGCACAGAAACTTAAAAACCAGGTGGAGCACACGTGAGATCAGAAACACAATGAAAAAAGAACATGACATTATGAAAGTGAAAACAAGGCCATCTCGAGACTCTCACAGACATAATCAGAAGACTGAAGAGAGAATTGCTTTCTTATGGAGTAAATCAATGTTGTTTACTGGCAATGTTATTGCCAGCACACAGCTGGCGATGTGCCGTTATTTACTATAGCACATCGCCAGCTGTGTGACCTGGAGCAAGTCATCTAGCCTCTCCATGCCTAGATTTCCTCTGTGTAAATGAAGAAAATAAAGATACCTACCTACAGTTTTCATGGGAAGGTTAAACGCATTAGTGCATGGGGCAATGCTCAACTCAAATGAACCTGCACAGAAGTATTCCCTATTATTACAGCTAAAAAGAGGGAATGGGAATGACCTCATGTGCAGCATGCTTTGAATCAAAACCTTTAAAACTATGAACCATGCTCTGACTGGTATAGCTCAGTGGATTGAGCGTGGGCTTGCGACCCAAAGGATCACAGTTTGATTCCCAGTCAGGGCACATGCCTGGGTTGCAAGCCAGTTCCCAGCAGGGGATGCACAAGGGGCAACCATATACTGATATTTCTCTCCCCTCTTTCCCTTCTCCTCTAAAAAATAAATAAAATTTAAAAAATCTTTTAAAAAATAAAAATAAAACTATGAACCACACACTTGTCCAATATGTTCCTAGAAACCATTTTAACAAATCTGTACTTACATAAATTCAGTACACTCAGATTAAATTTCCTTCTTAAAGCAACGAGCCTAGATGCCTACAGTGACAAGTATTGTGTATGTATTATATACTCACACTTAAAATTCCTTCTATTACTCACATTCTCATAGAGAGCTTGCAGAGTCTCCAGATCAACCACAGAATTGTCCAAGTTCACAACAGCTGTGGGAAAAAAGGAAAGGAAGATGAAAGAATATAAGTTAGTTAGCATACGCCTGCTGTGAAAAGGTGTCTGGCTATCCTGAGCAGCCGTGACCTTCTCTAAAACAGTCAGAGTTCATGACCAGGGGTCAGTGGGTGTGGGGCTCTAACTTCCAGTCATTCCCTTGCCCCACTACAAAGAGCACGCTCAAGGACTTTCAGCAGAGGCAGAGGTGAAGGGTCAGAGGTGCCATTTGCTCCACAAATACAAAATCTCAGGAATATGGCCCAGTCAAATGGCAAAGATAAATGTGAGTGTCTTCCAAGGACCAACTGCCTGAATTTGAAAAATGTGCTTAATACGAGAAAATGAGGCAAATCGTCCCTGCTCATCTCCTGTCCTCATTTTCCACTGCTCACACCTGCCTATTTATCTAAAGGCATATGACAAAGTTTCATTCTAATCATTAAACTGATGGACTTATTATACAATGAGGGACATATTTCTTGTTGTGATTTTAAAATTGTTATACTAAAAGAATAATTCTTGGTTGTGGTATTGAGATTATGAGAGATGCATTCTGAAAATCCACTTTTAATATACCAATCACCCATGCTTATACAAGGAAGAAGCGGAATCAATAACCAAAAATTGGGAGTATGTTCTTAAGTGCACTTTTTGGCCTGAGAATTGTATTGGATTTTGGAGTCAGTGAGCTTTATAGCTCAGTTTGGACGTAAAGTGAAAGCATTCTGTGTTACCTACACACATGCTAGCTAGAAATGAGGTGAATTTGCCATGATCAGACATGTGTCAGGTAGCCAGTGAAGCTCTTGTGGGATTAAAGATTTTTGGAAGAAAACTCACAAAGTGAGTAATCACAAATTGGTTGTGTGTTCTTTGGTAACTGGGGCATTTTGCATCATCTTTTCTCTCAAAGTTTTAAGTACATGAGCCATTTTCTAGTTGAATCTGGCAAAATCTCAAGAAAGAATTAAGAAAGACAAGTGGGAAATTGAAGCATACAATGTGTGAGAATGGTAACCAAGATAATTTAGCTTTTCTGCTTAAAGCTGTGAACAGAGCCCATGATTCACCAACAAATATTATAGCAAGTAGAATATGATACTTCTATCCTAATAATATTCCACTATTTCCACCTCCAAAAAATTAGGTCTCAAATATCAATCTAAGAATTTGATTAAGATTCACAGACAAATCTTTTCACTCTTTAGACTACATAAAGCAAACATATGACCAAGTAACATTTCAAAGTAGTAAAAACACAGCCCAACTAACTTTAACAGTATTTCAAAAATTAAATAAAAGTGATTAACAAATGACTTTCACGGGAAGTCATGTGACTATAAATGATGTAAAAAAATGCCTAAAATCCAAATACCAATAGCAAGTTCCTGCATGAAACTACTCCCTTTGGATTTGAACAGAGTCTACCCATTTAAAAAAATCTTAGCGTGAACCCAGAGGTCTTATTTCAAATTCATTAGCTAATAATCCGGTATTTCTGCATTCCTTTGGCAATACAGCAAGAGATTGATGGGGAAAACTATACAAGAAATGCTAGTAGTCAACTTAGCATACAATTTCATTCTTGGAACAAGAAGAAGAAACACAATAAAATCATTCATACTCAAATGAAAACTTACACAAGATACAATTGTCTTCTGACTTTATCCATCATTTTAAAACATAATATTAATCCTACACGTTCTCCCCAAGTGAAACCTTACTTGTGAATCTTCCTTAGGCTTCTCATCTTTTAAACTCAGGCAGTATCAGCTGAAGAGTATCTTAATAAATGGCATACAGTCCCAACCATAGATATATGGCCCTAAGCAAGTCCACAAGTTTCTAACCCATGAAACCTTGCTTTTCAATCATCCCCAGAAAATCTCAACAAAAAGCAACTCTATACAATTTCCCTACAGTTGGCTTTACACCTGAGAGATGCTGACATACTTCAGTGAGAATCAGTGCTGTTGACAAAACAATATAGTCATGTTTAAGTAGCTGAAAATAAGGAAGATTACATGCTGGCAGATGGATGGATGCAGTGATAGAGTTCTAGATGGGAGGCAAAGGTTATAGATGTAATTTGGGAAAAGTTAAGGGTGTTGAGGTGCTATATTGGCTCAGTATAAAAAGCACATTTTAATATTTTAGAAATCAGGATTCAGACTAAAATTTTAGTGGCGTTTTCCTGGCCCTCTCTCCTTTAAAATCTGTGATTAGGTAGGTGGTACAGTTTTAACTGTTGAAATTCCAAAATCAAGCAAATGATATAACGCACGCACTCATGCACTCAACAAATATATTTCTTACAACTCAGCGACTCTCCTAGCTCACTAGACTAGTTAACAGTTATTTGAGTACCAGTGCTTTGGAATGGGAGCTATTGGAGGTGGATATGCTCAATTACACAGCACCAAAAAGCTGCAAACAACTGGTTATGGGCAGAGACCACCCCACGTAGATTTCTCCTTATGGCCATGGTAAGGGATTTATAGAAATATGCATGTGCGTAGAATTTTTTAAGGTGGCAAGGGGTTCATGAAAAAATACTCAGAAATCTCAGGTTTTCAATATTTCAAGTTTCTTTAAGAGGACACCTGAATATTAAAATATCAAGGTGAGAAAGTCCCTCTGTCCCCTCAAAAGGGAATACGATTTTCACGAAATAGTTTACCAAAGTGGAAGAAATGTAGACCATGGAATCAAAGTTAACTGGGTTTAAATTCACATTTTTATTTGCTGCTACTTTCCCCCCAGTTACTTCACTGGACAAGCTTTTAGTTTCTTTATGAGGAGAGCAGACAAGGGAATAGTAGAAAACATTTGCACTGTTTTGATCTTTGTGGGGACTGAAAGCTGTAACAAGTAAAAGGACCTGGCAGGTGGTTGGTTAATATTCCTTCATACGCCTTATTATCTAACCCAAACTTCCCAAAGTTTCTTTCTTTTCTATTTGTGTTTTTGTGCCCTCACATACCAAAGAGAAAAATTCCAACTGCATCTACCAAGGGTTGTCACTCTTCACCTGGGGGAAAATTACCAGAGCTAAGCATACAGCCTGAGAAACTGCCATGGGGTGTTCAATTATACTCCATCTTTTGTACTTAATGTTTAAACTACTGAGCGTTAGACTTAGATTGCAGAACATAAATAAATTCAAAAGTCAGTAATGAATCTTTCATTCATATTACTTTATTCTCTAATATTCAAGTGCATGGTAATGTGATTATACTTTTGATGAGAGGCCAAAGATTTCACACTCGCTTCCTACTCTTGGCTCTGAGACACTCAGGAACACCCACCATTGTCTGGGATCTATCATATTCCCACCCATCTACCCCCTGCAGGTCCATAAAGCTGTTTGAATTAACCCAGGAGTATCTGTTCTGTTTTACGTGGAAGGGTGGAAGGATGAAGATGTTGAGAAAAAACTCTGACTTTTTTAATGCACATGAAAAGGATGATTTACTTATTTGTAAAGTATTCTAACTTTCCAAGTTTAAAACAAACAGAGATTTTTACAATTTCTCTAAAAACTTGTGAATGACCATGTGTTAACATTCACTCCAGGATTAAATAGACAGCAATTTGATTTTTTAGCCTAAAACTTTTTGACAATGCCAAGGATGTGATAAGGAAGAAGAAGAATACAGTACGCTTTCCGGCTCTTCAATCAATGTGCTGTGTATCTTTGATGAAGACACTGAGCTTCTCTGAGGCTTTACCAAGTGGGATAATCACTTCGTTAACATATGTTGATCACGTGGATAGAATAAGCCATTTTATAGTAAGAAGAATAATTCAAGAAGCCTTGAAATAATTTAGGTAATTAATTTTAAAATTTATATTATCTGGGAACATACTGGTTAGAAACTAAAGGCGGAGCTGGGAATGCGCTAGATTAAAATTAGGCTCAGAATTAAACATTTGCCTTCAGTCACCAAAACTTGCCACCATAAATAGCTTTTTTTTTCATGAACGCTACTTGTACACACTCACTGAGATCCAATGTCTGTTTTATTCAACCATATTGTTACCAAATCCAGAGTGATATAGCCTACTTAACATTCAATTTAACCTAAGATATTAAAAAAAGGTCTCAAAATAAACTATTCCAACAAACCAATCTATTTTCTTTTGCCTTTAAAATATTGCATTACATAAAAAGACTTGCAAAAAGAGCAATTCCAAACAACGAGGGGTTAGAGACCCAACACGGGAGCCAGCTGTGCACCGCACACATGACACTGTACGCACAGGCCCGCAAGTAGGCGAGAGGCATGTGCCCACCTCGCATTCCCTGGACATTTGGCCTTTATTATTACAGTGTTCTCCGTAGCCACCTTCTTCAACACCAGAAATGCAGGACATGTTCCTTAATTTTTTACTGATTTTAGAGAGAGAGAGAGAGGGAAGGGGGGAAGAGAGGGAGAGAAACATACATCAATTTGTTGTTCCACTTGGGTACGCATTCACTGGTTGATTCTTGCATGTGCCCTGACTGGGGATTGAACCCACAACCTTGGTGTATCAGTTATGTTTCTTATTCTAACATTCAGTCACCCTCAGACTAGAGCGCCACATAATATACGTCTCACTGTCTCCATGAGAAACAGAATCCTGTGTCTGTGTTCCCATGAAAGGATGGCGCAGAAGGGAGAGGACTGTACTTGAAGAGCTTGCGTTAAAAGAAACTCATGTAAAACAAAAGTTCACAAAATATTAGTCAAATGTGTAAATGTTTCACGTATTTTGAGTAGCCGGGAAAGCAGTTCACTTTATTGGTGTGATTCGGTGTGATGTGATTACTCTTGTTGAGGGCAACATTGTAAGTCATGGCGCATCCTCTGTTAGTGCCCGACTTACTCCGATCTTGATCTGTTCTAAATATGGGTTCCCCTGATGGGACAGGACCAGAGCAGCCTCGGGCCCCTTCCCTCCATCAGCCCTGAACGCCCAACCCAGGCACTGCAGTCTCTTGCCTCAA